ATGCGCTCAGATTTCATAAGTGATTCAAGACAGATGTTTTGTGATGGGTCACACAATTGCGCGAAGGGCATAATGATTTCAAACTTGCTCTGTAGGTCTGCCATTGACTTATGAAGTATCAGTAAATCATTTTTGCTACAGGCCGCATTCTCTGTCAGTTCACCCATGATATCAGATACCATAACTCTGGGTGTATCTGGTGTCAAAAGTGTAGAATCGTCAACGGAGCTGAGGCCCTCAGATGGTTGACGAGCGTTAGATCTCAGTCTCTTAACGGTACTTACACGTTTGATTGACTTAACCATTACAGAAATAACAATTTTCACAATTTCCAGAAAAAAAGTCTTGAGGATATAAAAAAGATAGCTGTATTACCGAAGTATCAAAACAACTACGATAAACAAATATATTGCAAAATAAAAAGTCAGACTTTCCTTTAACAGTGCTTGCTGTGAATAAAATCCTGAGTTCCACGTGGTTAGAGAGGGTATCAGAAGATTCCGGGTTGTAGATTTCACGGGTGAATACTATATATAGTTTCACGTGGATATGTGGATAATGTGAGGAAAGCAGCTAATTTCCAAAATAATAAGCTTAAATACTACACCTGTTGTTTTTTGCCGATATTTATAATTCTAGATAAAACATTAGCAGTTAAGATATGTATCCTCAAACAGACAAGAAATCTCGTTTGTAAAACTACTACCCAACACAATAAGTGGAATAAAATGGACATAAACCGACAACATGAAAAAGGTATAACTCACCACAACATCACATGGACAGATGTACGCTCGTTGGGCACCATATATACCTCACCAACTGCAACCCACCTTTCCTAAGATAATGTGATGAACTCATATCCATAATTTTGCTGAGCAGTTATTATTCTCAACTTCTGTCGGAACAGCTGAAATTCATAAACCTTCCTAACGCTAAGAAAATACCCACAAGCAGTAGAAATCCATTAATTAATGCGTCCGAAGCTTATGTACTTACTCCCAACAATGACATTGAAGATCAAATGAGATAAACACATCACCGATTTCAAAATAACACATCAATGAACTATAATTCGAGGACTCTGCACACAACAAAGTTATGTATGAATATTTACTTCAAGCTTTATTTTTTTCCCAGGCACTTATAATCCATCCACCAAAGACCTGGTTTTTTGTTAATGCGAAGACAATACTTCTGTATTTTCTGACGTGTTGCACTCACTGACAACCTAGCAGATTTTTCCAACTGTGCACAGAAATGATTGTATATAAGTGAAAAGGCTGTTATATACTACTGGGATTAACATTTATCAAGTGTATGTATAATCTCCAGCGAACATATAAAGCATATCTTGCTACTGCCTGTAAATTGTGATTGAATTATATGGTTCTATTTCTGTAACAATTTGATGATGCCTGTAAACTGGCGTCCCTCATGTACTGTACTATGAGAATAAATTTATTTATTTACTTATATTTAAAAAACGGTGATGGACAACATCTCAATTGGTGACGTCAAAATCCTCATGGGCGATATGAATGCAAGTCAAACTGGGACCTGATAATACAGGAAGAGAAATCATCATGGGTTGAGAGGATCTGACTCGTAGAAATGAATGAGAATGGAGAATTATTCGCAGACTTCTGATCTTTCAACCATTTGGTGGTCGGAGGAGGCGTATACAAACACGAGGATTTCCACAAAACAACACAGAGTCCGCCTAACTGAAATACCACAAACCAAACAAATTTCATGTCAATATCAAGGGAGTGGAGACACAGCCAACTCGATACAAAGTCGAGAAGTGGAACAGATGTAGGCTCAGACCCCAGTCCAAGGAACCTTCAAGGTGAAGCTGAAATCCATGAAATCAAATTGAGACAGACCACGATTCAAGTTCAACATTCAGAAACTGAAGGACAAAACTACAAGGGATGCCTTCGCTACAGATATCCGAACAAAGTTGGAGATACTACGTGGTAACACTTAGGAAAACGGTGTGGAAGAACGTTGAAACTCTCTGAAGGCGATATTTAAGGAAACGTGTACAACTGTTCTAGGAGGTAGGAAGAGACAAGATAAGGAACGACTGTCAACGGACACCTACCAGGAAGCTAGTCGAGGATAGGAGGATGGTAAAAGGGAAGATGATTCATTGCAAAGATGGACAACAGAAGGAGAAGCTGAGTTCAATGTACACTGCTCTGAATAAGGAAGTAAAGAAGAGTGCTAAGAAAGACAAAAGACAATTCTACGACACACTGGAAACTGAAGCAGAACAGGCAGGCCCCAGGGAAAAGTGACATCAGGACACTGTATCAGATAACAAGGTGTCTGTCCAGGAAGAGATCGACCCAGATGATGAAACCGATGAAATATTTTCGATTACCAAGGAGGAGAAATAAATAAAACAGTGGGCTGACCACTTTAAAGGACTCTTGAATCGATCATCACCTGCAACTCGCCCAGAAATACCACCAACAGCACGCACAGAACTGCCCGACAGTGGACACCACTCCTCCAACGAAAGCAGAAATCCTAAATGCGACCAAGCCACTGAAGTCCAGTCAGGAAAGCAGCAGGACCAAACGGAATCCCTCCCGAAGCACTGAAGACAGCCCCAGAGATTGCGGCAGGTGTTCTCATTCCATTACTGCAAAATGTTTGGAAAGAATGAAAGGTACCTACTGATTGGAAGAAGGGATACTTCGTCAAACTGCCAGAGAAGGGCGAATTATGCCTGTGCAAGAACTGACTGGCGTGGAATAATGCTCTTGTCCACGCCAAGTAAAATACGACGTCGCATCATGTTGGCGGGAATAAAAGATGCACTGGATACAGAACTCCGCCAGCTGGAACAAGCTGGATTCGGGAAAGGCAAGTCATGTGCTGATCAAACTGCAACTCTACTCATGGTCATCACAGAACAGAGAACAGAATGGCAGTGAAACATCTACCTCAACTTCATCGACTACGAAAACGCCTTCGACAGGTTGCCTTCACGGCGAAGCAATTTGCAAGCTACTTCAACGCTACGGCGTACCTCAAGTCTTTGTCAACCTCATTCAACAGTTGGCTATATGACAATGCCATGTGTCAGGCGATCCACAACGGAAAACTCAGCGAGGCGTTCGAAGTGCATACAGGAGTAAGACAAGGCTGCCCATCATCACTGATGATACTCTTAATTGTGGTGGACTAGAAAATGCGCCACACTGTGAGGAGCGAGGGGTCAGGAATACACTGGACGACCGATAAGAAGACTCTAGAATATCTGGATTTTGCAGATGATTTTTGTCTAATGTCACACAATCTCGGAAACTTACAGGCGAAAACCAACAAACTGGCTGAAGAGGCAGCGAAAACAGGACTCCAGGTGAACATAGAGAAGACGGAGATGATGAAGATAACCAACGAACCGCAACAACAACAAACAGAACCAATCACTGTCAACGGGAGAGGTTTGACAGAAGTTACTTCCTTCACTTATCTAGGAAGCATAATTCCAATTACAGGCGGAACGGATGCAGATGTCGAAGCCAGTCAAAATCGGAAAGGCACCCTGAAAGCAGTTTGGAAATCTTCCACACTCAGCATACGGAAAACGATTCGCATTTTCAACACAAATGTTAAGTCGGTCCTTCTATGCGGGTCAGAAACTTGCGCTGTGCGCCGGCCACGAAAAGGATTTCCAACAAGCTACAGGCTGTTGTCAACAGCTGCTTTCGCTGGCTGGCTGGCTCGATATTGAAGAGCAAATTGCCGGCCAGAGAGAATTAGTGACAATAAACTCTGGGGAAAACCAACCAAGAGGTGATCACTCGACAAGTATGTAGGAGAAAGTGGAGATGGATCGGGCATAAATTGAGGAGACCGCCGAATGACACAGAGCGCAATGCAGACCATCGTTCGAGTGGAATCTGAATAGGAAGCGACGAGTGGGTCGTCAGTGTAAGGGTAAAATGGAAGAGATCGTGGGAGGAAGAGATGAGAGAGTTTGGGCAATCGTAGACCCAGCTCAAGAGGATGGCATGAAATATAAATTTGGGCTACCGATATCACATGCTGAAAATTTCATAGTTGTACCAAAAATACTGTGTGGAATCAAGCTATAGTAAAATATAAAATATATAACAAAGTGGAGATGTGTTGTTGAAGCCCTATGTTCCACTCGGAAATTAAGGGTATAATAAATAATAATGAAGTGATTTGTAGCCTGAAGAAATGCTTGGGCTTGTTATTGTGACACTTGCAGATGCAAGAATTCTCCGATATCTCCAGAATGGAAATTTAGCTTTCCTGCAGTAGGTCCAAACAAATCCTGTCTTCTAAGAAAGTGAGGCAAAGAGACTGTAATATTTTACTCATAGTAAAATGCCGTTGAACTTTAGCTATCTGTTTGTTAGTTGGGTATAAACCATAAGCGAAACGTTTCCTGAAGGTCAATATTATAACTGAGACAAGAGGATAAAGAAAGCAACCAATCTTCTGAAATATATTCAAACAGGACAATGAAATAAAATCTCAGGTTTAAAACAATATGAATTAAGGGTTATTCAGTAATGGCTTGGAAATAGTGAGCATCCAGAGCCACTTTATTAAGTACAGTAAACCTGAAATTGGTTGAGATGATCTTATCGGGTACCCGCAGCTAGCGGTTCTTCAAGAAGAAGCCATCAAATTAGCATCAGATAACGTTTCCTATAGAGCATGTAGATATACTGTTAGACAGTGTTTATGCAAGGTCTAGTGAACTGCCCTCATATGTTGCAAATATGCAGCTTAATGGGGCTAAGTTTGTGGTGAAAATTTGTATGGCAGCAAAATCCATAAACGATCTCGAATCACTGCAGACCAAAAGTAGAATACTTAGAAATCTCTGTTTATGGAATCTCTTCATAGATGCATTATATAATAGAAATAATTTCATGGACACATCGAGGGTGACGCCTACATCTTTCATTTAAAAGAGAGACAAGAGCACTCCAAGTGTACTTGAACATTTAATAGGTTGAACTGTGTTTGTTTTTATTCGCGTAGTTACCCTTACGGATTCGTTGGAAATTGCTTCGAGAACTCACGTGAAGAAAAGATGGTAAGTTCAGTGGTTTTTCCAATTATTCTGCTAGGCTGCTCGTGCATTCAGAAAGTTCGCTCCTCTCTTTGACCGCGTTCTTGTCCAGCGCTTCGAAGCTGAGACAAAAAGCAAAGGTGGCATCATGCTTCCAGAAAAGTCAAAGGGCAAAGTTCTTGAAGGGACGGTAGTTGCACATGGTCCGGGTGTTAAGAATGAGGTAAACCTTTTGGAACTAGATTAATTTTCTTCTAAGAAAGGTGAAATAATCCCCATGTGTGTCACTGTTGGTGACAAAGTTTTCCTTCCTGAGTATGGTGGAACTAAAGTTGTTTTGGAAGATAACGTAAGTTAAACTTTAGATCAGTAAAATATTTTGCAGGAATACTTTCTGTTTCGGGAATCTGACATATTGGCCAAGTTCGAGAACTGACCGACCCCACTGTCTTAGTCTCCCTTCCATTGTACACTAACTACTGAAATTACATAGCTTTCATTTCCAATTTGTGCTTTTTAAGAGTTTGTGTGGGTTTCTGGATCCTTCTTACTTCATTAAAGGCAATGGGAAGACGTGGTTGAACGTGTGTTGATTTTCAAGTATTGATTTTCCTAGGAATTTTCGTCTGATTGGAGGATTTCTTCATGAGCTGACATCAGTTGGGGAACCATTTTTCCAATGGGTTTCTGACTGATTTCTGCTCATGATGAGAGTTTCCAAGCAGTCAGACATGTACCGACCTACCAAGTGTTTGAGCCAAGCAGCGCTTGTGTAAACGTGTGATACTGGCAAGTCTAAATGAGAGTTTTTGGATTCTCCGACTTCAGTGTGACATGTGGTCATCACTTCGTAAATCGTGCTGATCGGGAAATAAGCAGTCGAGTCACTCACCAGCTTCATACCTGTTTAGTGTGTTTTTAAATTCCTCGTATTCTGTGGGGTTTATTAATCGTCGCACTTGAGTTCCGTTTTCTGCCTAAATGCGCCGACCATCTGTGAGCAGACTTCTAGAGGGTTTTCCCATGTAAGCAAAGTAAAGTGTATGAATGTGAGTTCGTAGACGTTGTATTGTTGATATAAAGACATCTGGGTGACACTTGCAACGAAGATTATGAACAGCATCCATGTGTAGTGCTGAACCATCTTATTGGTTGACCCAAGGGCATTTGACTTTGCTGTCTATTCCTTACTGTTGCCGTGTAAAGTATTTTGCCAGTGTCCATGCGAATATTCAAGTTGAAAAAAGAATATTAACCTTCTCATACTATGTACAAAGAGAGTGTTGCTGTGATGGGTGGTAGCTCATGTTTCTTCGTAATGAATTCACCAACTTGAAGACTCAGATTCTAGTGCGTATAGACTTCTCGGTTGTGTTGCTTACATTAAGATCCAGGCAATGTAATAAATGGTATCGACCCATTTTCGAACCGTCTTAAGGGTTTTTCGCGTGTCTTGGGTTATAGTCTCAAGTGAAATATCACTTCGAGCATCATTCCACTGACGGACATCTGGATTGACAATAGGTGTCTTCTGTTTGTATATTAGTGTGATACAGTCTCTTCTCCATTATTCGTGCCAACTTTTTGAGCTGACAATGGGAAGGTCACCCTTACCAGTAACTTCGAGCTCCATGTATTCCTTATTTTGCATTTAATGTTCTCCAATAGTTGTTCTTGAGGATAATTTACCTTATATAGAAGAGTTCAATCGGGGAAGTACATTTCTAGCGCCTGCATACTCAAATTGGTAGGTAGGTCATAGTGTTTGCCTAGTGACCGTTTACAAGAAGTTTAAGCGTATGGCGTTCATTGTGCATTCAGCAAATACTAGACTTGGGAATAACTCGCTGGTTTTGAATTTAAAGGACCACGAGGAGGAAGCGCAGTTCCATCCGAACCCTCGTACCGCCAGTATAGATCAGGCAATGGGACGTTTGCGGTGTGTACTTCTGTTGGAAGTGAAGTGGTAGAGCACGTTGACCGCTTCACTTACTTGGGTAGTACCACCAGCCCTAACGGGTTGGTCTCTGACGAAATATCAGCACGGACACAGGGCTAGTTTCGCATATGCCAGTTTACTCCGTCTCTGGCGTAGACGTGACATCCGACTATCGACCAAAGGGCGTGTGTACTGCTCATCAGTCCGCTCCGTCCTCCTCTATGGCTGTGAGACCTGGCCATTGAGAACAGAAGACATGAAAAGATTAGCTGTGTTCGATCATAGGTGTCTGCGTTCTATCTCCCGTGTGAAGTGGCATAATAAGGTGAGCAATATTGTGGTTAGGCGTCGAGTTCTAGGTAAGGAGGGGAAATCAATCGACGAGACTGAAATTACATCGACTGAGATGGTTAGGATATGTACTACGTATGCCTAGTCATCGCCTTCCTCGACAATGGGCAATGTTAGCTGATATAGGGTCAGGCTGGAAAAGAGCTAGTGGCGGTCAAACGAAAACATGGCACCAGTCAATGAAATCTACAACAGTTAGTCTAAGTCACGTAGGAAGGTGGAGACTTCCTGGTTGGGGTCCTAGGAACGGTAAAAACCAATGGTTTGAAACAATTGGTGACATGGCTCAAAATCGTTCTCAGTGGCTGGCGCAGATGCATCCACTCCTTGTGACTTATGTTTTCCAGTTAAACTGTTTTGTTCTTCGTTATTACTTTTCCTTTGTCCCATATCCCTGTCTACTATCTCTGTTTTGCATTTCTTCTCTTGCCTTGTGTGCTACATGGAGTGTGGCGACTTGAACTGCCGCACATATGTGGAAAGTTCTATGTTGAAAACAGACAGACAGTACTTCTGTAGAGACTCAGATTTTCCTTCAGGTTCGCATCCCAAGAAGTTCAGTAACGCACTTCAGTCCAGAACTACTCTGCTAGTGCATTTGAATTTCACTCAGAGCTAATCATGACTTTCGAACTTAATTAGTGTGATCGGTTTAGCAAGTACCATAAAGCCGGATTCATCATCGAAGATAACATTAGGTCTTGACGAGAGGATTACTTTTAAGAATAATGAGTTGCTTTTCAGTTATGGCAAGCACTTAGTGGTTTTCTAAATGTGACTGCTACATATTTACAATACGTGGTTTCAAAAATAGCCGTTAAAGCGTTTATGAGATATGCTGACCGACCGTAGGATTTCGAAAACCTTAGTTCTTACTTCGTTGCCGTTCCAATGTTAAATAGTGTCTATTGGGTGGTGGTAAAGATCTGCGTTGCTTCATTCACAGAATATTGATAAAATTCCTGATTTATATGCGTTTCCGTAAGTTAATGTAGTGTCTGTCTATTACAGTTGGTGAACTATTTTCGTTGTGAATAATCTTCAGAAACTTAACACTAGCAAATTAAGGATGATTGCTAGCACACTTAGTAGTTCAGTGAAGCCTTGGTAAAGTGCTCTAAGGTTCTGATTCACTGGTGAGTTTTCTATCTGGAGAGTGTATCTCCTTTTCTAACTCTGCTTGCTTCTGTACAGGTCCTCGTCGTTGAGCGCTTATATACTCTTGTGCGTGTCGCGAGAACGATGGCTGCTGCTCTGTGCGTCATGATCCGACAAGCTGTAGTGATGGGATGCATACAACTTCTACCATGTCTGTAGACTGAGATCACTCAGTTGTTTTAATGGTGCAGATCTATTCGTACCTTAACTCCAAAATGACGTATTCTCTACGCCGGACCTATGCATGTCTGGTGTTATAACATCGTCTATCTTGTTTCTTTGCATTTTTTCTAATGGTATTATATCTTGAAATAGTCCAATTCTATGCTCAATCTTACGTTTGTTCTTCACTTTATGTCTGAAACTTGCAACTAACTGACGTCAAAAATCTCATCAAGTACCTTACTTTAGTGCTTATACAGCGCGTATATCGAACTAACTCTTTGGTCATACATGCCTGCGTTCTATCTCCGGTGTGGTGGTATAGTAGGAGGAGCAATATTGATGTCAGGCGTCGAGTGCTACGTAAGGAGGAGAAATAGACCGAGTAAGTTTTGAAGTTCCATTGATTGAGATGGTTAGGATATGTGTTACGTATGTCTAGACATCGCCTTCCTCGACGGCCAATGCTAGCTAACAAAGGATCAGATAGGAAAAGAGCTAGTAGCAGTGGTGGTCGAATCAAGATATTGCTTCTTCAGTCAATGAAATCCATAACAGTCAGTTTCATCCATGTAGGGAGATGTAGACTTCGTAACTGGCTGGTAAGGTTCCTCGGGACGGTGAGGACCAACGACTGGAGACAATTGGTGATATGGCTCAAAATCGTTCTGAATGCCTGACTCAGATGCATTCACTCTTTGTGATTTGTCATATCCAACAGAACTATTCTCCTTCCATATTACTATTCTTTTTGCGTCATATCTCTGCTTACTGTTTCTGTTTTTTGTATTTCTTTTTACTTTCTTGCTTTATGTGTTAAGTGAGATGTGGCGACTCGAACTGCTGTACATCGGTGCATAGTTCTACATTGAAACAAGTCAGTCACGTCTATAGGATATTTACTGTGTCTAGTTTCTACTCTTCTTCTCGCCATGAGTAGTAGTCGGGCTATTAAACGGTTTTATTGTCAGGAGAAAATATTGTCCTCGTAACTACGGATTGTATTTTTCCATATGACTCAACAACTAATTATTATACAGCAGTGAAATTAGCAGGATATTAGGTAGTATATTCTTTAATGTTTTATTGGCTAGTGAATCAGGTGGTGGCACCTTTTCTGTAAGTAGATGAGGTAATAAACAATATGTTAGCTATTTGAGTTTCGGGATCATCGATGATAGCAGTGATTTGTATAACTATGTGACTTATCTGATCCGAATTTCTATCAGGCCGAAGTTTTCTTAATTAGTCTGAACATCAGTCCCCTGTTGATCACAACAGGGGTAGGTCAATGTTAGAGACGTGCGTTGTGTTTCCGTCAATCGAAAATCCTCCCCTATATCTAATAAGGTTTCATTTGTTGATGATTGCTTGCGTTCAATGACATCATCGCGTGAGTAATTCTGAGGTTTGGCGGCGTGTGTTTGAACACAGTTGAGATCACCATTCATTGAGTGTCGTCATCTGGGAACACCAGCTCCGGTGGCTTGGACATGTGCTGCGAATGTCATCCCAGAGGCTTCCGTACAGGTCTCTGTTCGCTAGCCGTGGGACGGGATGGAAAAGGTGGAGAGGTGGTCAGTCCATGACGTGGCGTCGTGGGATGAAGGACTTTTGTACTAGATTAGCATCGGTTGGTGGGTCACCACTCCCTGGTTGGGGTCCGAGAGATATCTCGGGACGCCATCGGATATGGCCAAAAATCGTAGTCAATGGCGAACGTGTTTCAATTTCCTTCTTTCTTCCCTTCCTGATGATAGCTAACGAATACTGTTTGAACTTGTTAAACATGACTGTTTTCCTTCCAGATGAAGTTCTTTATCCATTCTCTTCTTATAATTTGTTTTACTTTTAATCTATGTTGTTTTATTATTATTGTGTGGCACATCTTTCTTG